AGAACTTCTAAAGAAAGTCTTCTTTTTAGGGCTATATTATATAAATATAATAGAAGTTAATTTGAGCTAGTTACTAGAAAGTAAAGTATTTATACTTTCTTATTATTAGAGAATACCTGGGTATTCTAGCAGGCACGTATACTAGTAGTCCGTATACAAGCCCTTAAGGCTTTATACCTCTCACGACTCACTTCCCTCCTTAAGTTTCAGTCAATTAACTATATTAGAAGTGCTCCCTGACTCGCTTCTTTTAGTAACCTTTTGGTGCCCCTATTATACTTATATAATTAGTAATAATAGATTAGGTATTAAGACTTTTTCTCTTATTAATACTAGAGTAAATAGATATATTTTTATTAATTCCAAGTTTATAAAAATAATTAAATAATTTCTAGATATTAAGCTTACTTAATTAGTATTATTCTATAATATAAGAGAGTTTAATAATAAATAGGCTATATCTATTACTTATTATATTAAGCTTATATTCTTAATTAATAGACGAAAGGTTCTAGTATTTATACTAGTTATAGAACTAGGCGAGTATAATATAATTTTAGAATAATAATAATTTATAAATACTAGTATCCTAATTAATTATAAGAATAGAAAATTAATCTGGCTAGATAATTAGCCTAGAAAAAAGAGTTAGAATAAGGTTCTAATTACTATATATAAGAACTTAAAACCTGGGAAAAGTAACTAGTACTAAGAAAATATAAATAAAAGAAATAAAGCTATAGTTATAAATAAGTTCTAGAGATCTTAGCTTATAAAAAGGAAACTCCCTTATTTTTTTCCTAAGCCAGGCTTAGAAAGCTATATATAATAAAAGAATTAAGCTTAATACTATAGAGAAATATAAGTAGCTTTAGGAAATATAAAAGTTTTTTTTAAGCTAGAAATAGAAATATTAAAACTATACTATTTAAAGAAAAGCTATAAGACCTAGTCAAGGCCTATAATTAATATTATAGGTATTTTACTAGCTATTTTCTAGATAAACCTATAAAAGAAAAAGAATCTTTTTTTTATAATATTATTTTTCGAGATTAATAAAAAGCTAGAATTATAATAAGAGAATAAGTTTATTTTAGGCAAGTAATAGCTAGGAGAAACAGAGCTATAATAGCTAGTAAAAGTCTTACTAGAGGAATTCAAGGATTTTATAAATATTTTTTTAAAAGAAATATTAAATATCTTATTTTTATATTAATTATATAATTATAAGATTCAGATTAATAATCCTAAAGGCCCAGAAAGTCTAGGGTATTTTTTACTCTATTAATAATTAACCTATAAGCTATAGGAAATTAAGTATTTCCTTAAAAAGAACCTTTAATAGAGCTTTATTAAGCCAAGCTAATTCCCTTTTATATCTCTAATTTTCTTTATAAAGAAAACTAATAGAGCTCTCTGATTTTATATTAATTATTATAAGCTAAATAACTTAATATAAAAGAACTATTATTTTCTTTCTTTTATTTATAAGATTCTTATATAACTAGCTTAAGCTAAGGTCTATATAAAGCTAGATATTTAATAAGTATTTTATTAGATCTAAATAGACCTAGAATTAGAAGAACTTATAATATTTTATATAAGATATAGGGCCTATAAATATAAGATTCTTTAAAAAGGCCTAACTAATAGCCCTGCTATATATTAGAGATATATAAATAATATTCTTTTTAATTATCTTAATATCTTTTATATAGCTTATTTAAATAATATTCTAATTTATTTAAATAATTCCCTGAAATATAAAAACTATATATAAAAGGTTCTTTAATAACTATAAGATACTAGCTTCTAAATAAATATTAAGAAATTAGAGTTTAAAATTACTTATATAAAATACCTAGGCTTTATTATCTTTACTAAAAGTATTAAAGTAGATCTAGATAAGATAGTAGTTATTAAGAACTAGTAATTACTAAAGATAATTAAAGAAATATAAGGCTTTTTGGGTTTTTATAACTTTTATTAGTATTTTATTACGGAATATAGCTATATAATAAAGCCCCTAATAGCTCTAATATATAAAAGAGTCTCATTTAAGTAAATGAATTAGTATTAAAAAGGTTTTACTAAGCTAAAGCAAGCTATACTTTTAGTACTAATTCTATATTATTATAATTCGAATCTTTTTATTATAGTTAAGACAAATGTATTAAATAAAGTTATAGCTAATATTCTTTTATAATAAGACCCCTAGATAAAACTTTAATATCCGGTAGTATTTTTCTTTAAGACTATATAATTAATAGAACTAAACTATAATATCTATAATAAAGAAATACTTGCTATTATTTTTTCTTTAACTAAATAGTAAATAGAGCTAAAAGGCCTATAGAAAGTATTTTTTATAATTTACTTAGATTACTAAGCCCTTAAATACTTTATAATTATAAAAAAGCTTTTAATAAAATAAGCTTACTAGATAAAATATATTTTTTACTATTATTTTAAGCTTATATATTAGGTAAGTAAGTTAAATAAATAAGTAAATATTCTAAATAAGAAATATAAGAATATAGTTATCTAGAATAAGGTAATAGTAGTTTACTAAACCCAAATTCTTCTTTTATAATAAAAGATTAATAATAATATTATATAAGATTTCTAGTTAGCCCTAATTAAGGCCTTTATAAGCCCGGCTTAGAAAGAAACTTAGTATAATAGTATCTAGCTAGTAAATAAGTTATTAAATAAGAACCGAGAGTTACTAGAGCTAGAAAAGCTATAGGATAAGGCAAGAAATAAGAAGAAAGGTATTTAAATATTATAAGATAGCTTCTTTTTATAATATAGTAAACTATTTATATCTAATAATATAATAATACCCGAAATACTCTTATATATTACTCTTATTTAGAAGATATATATATAGCCCCTAATAGAATACTTAGGATAAGCTAAGCTTTAATAGCTTCTTTAGGCCTACTATTATTAGCTAGGCCAAGATATAGATATTAATTAGTATAGAAATAACTATTATATTTACTAATAATTCTATATTCTTAAAAATAAGAAGCCAGAACTCTTATATTTATTACTAGTTCCTAATTACCTCTAGTAATATATATTAGTAAATTTTAAGAAGTACTTAGAGAATAGAAATAAGTATAATATAATAGTAATTTTTATTAATTACCTAAATAAGTACTTTATTATAATTCCTGTCCGAGATATAGTAATAACTAAAGAATTAGTATTCTTATTTCTTATTTATATAGTTTACTAAGTTAGTATCTCGGAAATTATAGTATTTAATTAAGGCCTCTAGTTTATATTAGATTTCTAAAGCGAGTTCTATAAATATATTAGTATAAAGCTCAAGTTATTAATTACTAACTATTCCTAAACTAATAACTAGATAGAAATTATTAACTAGTATTTTAACTAATAGCTATATTTCTATATGAATTATTACTAGGATAATTAAGACAAATAAATAGTAATAATTAACTACTAGTAAATAGTTCTAGTCTATAAAACTATAGGCTAATCTTTATTTCTTATAAAAAAAGGCTATAAACTACAGATATTATTTAACTAGAAAACCCAAGTATAATCGAGTACCCTAAAGAAAGAGCTAAATAAATAAGAGGTAAAGGCCCTAGTAATATAGCTCTATAAATTATAATAAAAGATATAGGAGAATATAATATAAATATAAGAATATTATACTATTTAAGCTAATAAGTATTACTAATTAGTAGACTTTAAAATAAGAAATAAGATATAGATTACTACTAAGTATTAGAAGAATAATTATTCGAGCTATAAGCTAGCTTACTAAATAAAAGAACTATATGAAATCCTGGAATAAGTAAGATATTTCTTTAGGCTTAAGCTTCCGGAATTAATAAGAATATATCTGGTATTTTATATAGAGAAGCTATATAAAGATCCAGATAACTCTCTTTCCGAATAAGTAAATCCGGAGCCTCTACTATTAGAATTATAAGACAGAGAAACGGAGTATAAAGTTTAAGAGATACTAGTAGTAAAGCTACTTTATGAGAAGCTAAAGTACTAAATATAGTAAAAAGAATAAGACTCAAACCCAAAATAATATCTTGCTTCCTTATTAAGTAATAGTACCCTAGCTCTTTAGAACTTCTATAATAAGAATCCTAAATAGCTAGAACTACTATAGAATCTCCTCTATTAGTTAGACTATATTAAGAATAATATACTACCGGAACTATATAATATAAACGAAAATTCTTTAAAGTTATATATAAAAGACTCTGGCCTTTAATATATAACCTATAACTTGGAAATTCAAATAGGGACTTTTAAAGCTCGGGAATAAGCTTATTTCGAGGGAGGGAGTAATATTACGGTTATTATAATATATAGTACTAGTAGGGGTTAGACTAGAGCTAGTAAGGCATTTAGTATCTAAGAAAGATATCTGGTATCTAAGCAAGATATCTATAGTTACCTGATTATTACATGTAACCCCGAGCTTAAGCTAGTATATGGGCTCGTATATAGCTCGCGATTATTTAGATCCGAGGCTTCTTCGAGATCCTCTTCTTTCTTTAGCTTTAAATTATTGAAATAAAGATAGTCTAATTATATTTTCCAGGCCCTAGATCTTATACTCGTAATAACTAGCCCAAACCGGGTAAGAAAATACTTATAAGTATAATTAGAAATAAGATATATATATAGAAAAAGAATTTATTTGAAATTATATTTTTAATTTTTTTTTTAATTTTTTTAATTTTTATATCTTTTCTATTATAATTTTATATAAGTTCTATTATTATAAAAAAAATTATTTATAATAAGAAAATTATAGTTCTAAAATATATTAAAAAGCAAAAATAAAATATTTATTTATTTAGCTAAAAAAAAAGAATTAATAAATATATTTTACTTCTATAGTTAAGGTAGTAGTATTCTAACCCCCGGATCCGGGGTAGTTAAGTCGCTGTTTTTCGGGGGTCGGAACACTAAAATTAAGCGACCATTATCACGTGCGTATCGTCCATCGGCGTTTCCTTAACTTAACTTCCGGCCTAGAAAATCGCGACTTCCTAAGAACCCACCCGCAGGCAGCCGAATATGGAGGGCTTCATCCCTATCACCCTAGCTATCGCCTGGAAAGCCTCAATATTATCTTCTTCAGCCGTGTTATCATTTGAACTGCCTAATGACCCTAGGTCTGCCCCTCCTCCTCAAGGTTACCCTCCCTCCTCCCGCGTCGAAACACGGCTTCGCATCGTAGGGGCCTTGTAGCAGAGCGTATTTCGTAAACACGATTTGATATGGTTGAGATTAAATCTCGTGAGGTCCGCTCTGAAGTATTTTCAAGATGGAAAAAACTTTGGCATAGACGAGTTTTTTTCGGACTAATAGCGAGCTTCGGAGAGCGCTCATATGATATGAGGACTGCGGTTTGGGCTGCTCGTCCGGCTGGTTCGGTCGCTGTTAGACGCAGCCTCGGCCCGCTCGCTAAACTTTGCCGTCCTGCACTTGCTTCGGCCCTCCCAAAAATTGCTGGTTGTCATCTTTAATCATCCTGACCATCCCAGTCGTCAGTCCAGGAACAAGAGTGCCTTTGACCTTCGTATCCGCGAACGATGTTTTATTGAAGGAAGGGAAGAATGTTAGTAGCGCACGATCTCAAGGGATTGATGACACTTATCTGATAAGCACTAATGGTGGGCATCCAGCCAGAAACGGCCCTTCGAGCAACCGCCGCTCATTCATGGATGCCAGGACGGTCTCGCTACGCCAGGTGACCGCTCACCGCACGCCTTACGAGTTCATCTTTGAGCCAGCCCCCGCAGCAGCATTGTCATTTTCAGCATAGGGCAGTTCAAGGTAATACTCCGATGTACAACACAATGCCTCATGTATTCTTATTTCCTTCTTGACATTGCAGCTAAACACAAAGAAAAATCACTCCAGCTCAATCAATGACTTATTAGTTTCCGCTGCCGCCGTTGCCCATGCCGACTTTTCCCAGAAAATGAGACCAACGCGCCGATACCTATTCTGGTATCTATTAACCAGCTCCATTCCTATACAGAATACGAATTGACGATTCGAAGAGATTGCAAGGCAGATAATCTCGACTGTTTCCTGAGCACTCGGCAAATCTGGAGCCCAGAGTCCAACTTGTTCTCCATCAAAATTAATAACTGGATGACCTGGATAGATGGGATCGCGTAGATTCTGTATGACCGGAAATTCGCGTTTAGGAATCAGACTGAACCCTGGACTATGTATCTCGTTATCGAATCCTGAACCGTATTGCGAGCTATCAATGCTCCAGGGCAATTGAGAGAGATCAGAGCTGTCCACACTCGCCGTTTCCCCTAACGGTCTTGCATCTCCAGGGTATATTGGTATTTCTTTCGCCAGCGTATCCACTCTTGACTTGATTTGGCCAATCTTTTCTTTTGTTGGTTGTGGGCTTTCTAAGAGGCCATCGTGCATCACAATCCTCTTAGAGCCGGGACTAAAAGGCTTGGCGATAGCTTTGGCTAAAAACCCTCTCAGTGAAAGTACCCCTGAGTAATTATTAGAAATCTCCTTGGGTGAGCTCGGACTGCAGCGGGAGCACAATATCTCCACCAGGACTTCGTGATCACCCATTTTATCGAGCGGATACTGATGGAAGTATCTGATGTGGCCATCAATCTTTGACCAACTCCATGTTGGACCTTTACCAATGACCAAACATTAGTATTAAAAGAGAAAGTAGACCCGCGAATTGGGCTCACCGAGAAAATCAGGCACAAGCCGAGGTTCGATGCTCTTTGGAGGAACTTCTCTGTTAAAAGGTGGTGCCCCTTTAGAGGCGACACTCCATAGAAGCTGTCTCCAGAGAAATCGACTCCATAGCCCCGAAAGGAATGAATCTTGTGTAATCCTTCCAAATTCTGATGCTACGCCGGCTAGGGCAGTGAGTTTGTCTGACCCCCTAGATAATCCTCTTTGACTGTAGTTCTCGATAACAAGCAACCAACATTGATACAGGTTCTCCATGTCACTGCGGGAAATAACGTCAGTACCTCGCAATTTTGCAATGGCTTCCTGGAAGTACTGTCGCCATCCAAGGTAGTTATTGAACCTCGTGTCCCCAACAGCCGAAAAATCATCTGGCTCACTTGTTGAGACCTGCATTGTCAAACAAGACCAATACAAGATGTTTTTACCATAGATGAGTCGGCGGCCTGACATCAACTCCTCCTGCAGAACCCAAGCCCGGTGTGCAAGAGGCCCCGTCGAAGAAGAAGGAGGGGACGGATCTGCAAAAGCATAAATTGGCAAGCCAGAGAATTGTAGAATACACAAGCCTGGTGGTGCTTCATCCCAAAGCCTACATGGGCGGTGCAGCAGGCCGTCACGAGACCTGTAGATTCCCTCGCTGGAGTCATGGCTATCTAGAGCTGATATACACAAGTCTGCATTGCTGTATATGTCTGCCATTTTCGTGGATTCGTCCCTCCAGTCTTCTGTAGAGTCTTGAATAATGCAAAGAGAGTCAATCCACAAGTACTGATAACCCAACTTGGACGTGATATCACAGGCATCTAGGAATGTCTTCGGGATTTCGGCCAAAGGAATTCCAGTGATCCACTTAGAGATATTAGAGCGGAGAGTTCGAATAAGCCTCTTCTCTCCCCAACAGTGGCTTAGCGTTACATATCGTGCTCGGAAGCCTGGAGGCGGACAGAAGAGGAGCGGCCCGGACAAAGAAGGATTAGCGACGTCAAGGACGCGTTTAGGAAGAATAGGTGGCTTGTTGTGGTTTTTGTTAGCAGAAATGCAGTGCTCGTGCTTTTGACGACAAATTTGACGCCAGAAATCTGCCATACATAAGGCGGAAGCCGAAGACGTGCTCTTGTCATCATTTGACATGCTCTTTGTGAGAATGGCATCTATGGCTAGAAATTGGTCAGCATACAAAATTCTTGCATCTTAGACGAAGGTGAAACCGAACCAGGAGACACAGTTTGCAAGTGAAGATCACAGCTGTGGAACGGCAGTGCTGCTGCGTAAAATTCGGCTGCCACGATTTCCACACCCCCTTTGAAGTATTTTCGCCTATCTGAAGACAAATCCTCGACCGTAACTAATTCTTGGGTTCCTCTCTTCTTTTGCTCTGAGGCCAGTGGTCCAGATAGCAGTTGAACCCCTTTATCAAAGTGGCTAGTGATTATTCTCGTAACTTTGCGACTATCGACTTGAGAAAGCTCATGCAGCCCCGCCGTGGAAATATTCGCGGGCGCAATTGACGCGTTCAGATATAACCTTCTATCATCGATAACAGGGTATTTGATAGTAAGGCGGATATGCCTCTGGGGAAGTTCGATTTCCCCTTGTGGCCAACGACTTTTCAAGAGATTGTCGTAAATTAAAAGACATAGATGGCATCTCTTGCTAGCCGAATCTTTGAGATAGCTGGCTGTAGGATAGTGAATGAAGAAAGTATTCTCCTCGAGTCTCCCCAGCCGCAACCTGTCCCATTCTAGGAAGTTCCGGCACGTTTGGCACAATCGGTATATGTATTGATCCTGTGAGTTCGTCATCTTTTGTGGATGTCAAGAAAGGTAGTTGTCGTGATGTTGTTTTTGTAGTATACCTCCTTGCACTAAATCAAAGTGTAAGTGTGACTCACACAACGCACGTCATTCGGGCGTAGCAGACTTGAAGCTGTATCACGGCTGTCCTTCGGCTATGGCAGGAGAAGAAATAGCCACTAGTTTATGGTCTTACAGGCCGATGGTCTGGTATTATAATAGGTGTCAAGAAATGGTAAATACTATAAGGTCGTGCAAGATACCTTGTCATGGGAAGGACCAGACCCTCTGTACCTTAGTCAGCGGCATCCACGCTAGCCTCCTTAAGAGGCAGTAGCGGTTCGTCTATCAAAATGCATACATTTTGATCTCTTCTCGTTCTACTATATGGTAGCAATGCAAGGTTAATTACGTTAAGTAATCCTTTGTGGATCAAGAAGGGATCACGCGCTTCCGTACCATACAAAAATTCCCCGAATACGGATAAATTTGCTTCCGCCACAACTAACCATACCTTACAGAGTAATTAATCCATTAAAGGAACCATTACGACCATCTCCCGGCCATCTTGCGGACCGAGGAAATCCAGACCTTGGCTTCTTATTAAGTACCAAGAAAGAGCCCTCGAGTACGTAAGTCAATTGGGTCTATCGATTAGTTAAATACCATACCCGACCAAGTCCGGTTACGAACCATACGTTACTAAATTTCAAATTATCGAAATCCATAACTAATTCTATCCAGAATCACCTTGCAGATCCAGAACTTGCCTTCTTATAAAAGCTAAACAGGATCCCGAGTAAATTATTAGTTTATAGCTTTATCCGACCTTAGTACTAAGCCAATACCCCTCTATATATTATAGCCGGGGCCGAGGCAAACCCTAATAACCAAGAGAATTAAACGGTTAATTTATTAAAAAATCCAAGTCCAAATCTCCTGAATCCTTAATTTCCTTATTTCCTATTATTAGTAAATACTATTAATGGCTACTACTAGTTCCCGACTATCTCTTAGACTAGCTTCGTATAACTAGCCCGGTATAACTAATTACTATATAAATTATATATATATTAAATATATTATAATTCCTTCCTATATTATCGGGTTTTCCTTAAGAATATCTATAATTATAAGAGCTATAGGATCTCTAATCCGCTCTTATATTAATAGTTTCCTCCCTAGAATATCTCTTACTAATATAACTAAAATAATATTAAGTTTCCTATTACCGGATTATATCTTTTTTATTAGACCTTTAACGAATTTATAAAGAAGCCTTTCCTATTAAGAAATATATTAAAAATATAGTATTTACCTAGAAATAACTATTACTTCTTTAATTACTATCTATAACTTCTAATATCTTTTATAAAATCCCTAACTTATTTAACTATACTTTATTATTAAAGCTTCTATAATTAAGCCCGGAAGAAATAAAGAATCTCTTTAATAAAATAGCTAGATTAGCTAGCCCAAATAATAATAATAAACTAAAAGGTAGCTTTAGTACTTCAAATAACTTTTATTTTAAGTAATCTTAAAAAAGAAATACTATATTTATTATTATTCTTATAAATAAAATAAATACTAGAGTCTTTTTATATTTTAAAAGCTATTTTTTAAATAAAAATATTAGGAAAGCTACTACTATTATTAAGACTATAAATAAAAAAACCAGAACAGAATTCGAGGATTATATTAAGAATACTATTAATACTTAAACCTTATATATTAATAATATTAGTCTTTTTATATATTTTATGAATTATTTCAAGTCTGAACTAATTCCGGAAAATAACTAAGATAATTCGGATAATTCTCTATCTAATAAATTTAACTAGAATTATAAATATTATAATACTATAAACTATAAATCTCTTTTCAGAAAGAATAAAGAAATATAAAATAACCAGAATAATAGAAATAGTAGTAATTAAAACTATATTTATTATAAAAAAAAGTAATAATTATTATTATATAAATAAGAATACTTATAAATTAACTTACTAAAATATTTATTAAAGAAACCCAAATAGTAATCCGGATAATAGCTTTAATTTCTCTAAAAACAGATTTTATTAAGGATTTTATTAAAGCTTTTACTAAAATAATCGAGATTATTAATATTATTATAAATTTACTAATTATTAAAATAATTATAGTAACTTCTATTAAGAAATCTTTAGAGAAATCCGGTACTTATAAATTAATAATATTAGAACCTTTAATAGCTTTCTTTTAGATATAACTACTATTATATATTATAGGTACTTTATATTCTTAGCTATAACCTATAATAAATTATTCATTCTTATAATTCTTCTATTTTATATAAGAAAGAAAGCCCTTAATTAGTTTTCTGAATTAAATAAAGATATAATTATATTTATAATTAAGAATTTTAAAGAATAAAAAATTAATTAATCTAATAATTTAATACTAATATTTTATAAGCTTTTTTAAAAGCAAATACTATAAAATACTTATTTATAAATAAATTAGTTTTAGATATATATAAATATATTACTAAAAAATAAAGCTTATATATAATAGCTAAAAAAAAGAATAAAGATCTAATTATATAATATATTTATAATAAACTAGATCTAATTCTGGCCTTAATTATTAGTTTAAAAAATAGTTATAATATTATAAATAATTTCTATTTTAAGGTTTATTTAATAAAATATAAAATTCGAACTTAATACTAATAATTCTAAAACTATTATAGATATAATATTTAAGGCTTAGAAAGTAAGATAGAAGGTTTCTTATAAAAATAATTCAAAGCTAAGAAAGAGAAAACTAGAATATAAAAGGCTATAAGAAAGTATATATACCCTATAATATACTAGTCCCGAAGGGGCTTAGCTTTCTAAATATCTCTAGTATATTTTAAATATACTTTTCTAGTAAAATAGCTATATTATATATATCTAGAAGATATCTAATATCTAGTAAGATATTTCAGATACTAGATATCTAAAAATCATAATATTATTTCTTTCTTTATAATAAGCTTATTCTCGAGCTTTATAAAAGTTATTAATTTATTTAATTTCGTATTATACTTCTTTTTAAAATAAAACTAGTATTTTGAATATAGATATTATATATAAAAGACTAGTACCTTTACTATATAACCTAGAAAAGTTTATTATTATTTTTATATAATTCTGGACAAGTATTATTTTTTATATAATCTAGCTAGTATTATAGGTTTTATAGAAATCCTAGTATATTAATATTATTATTATAGAAACTCTATAAAACTAGAGAGCTATTACTTAGTACTAAAACTAAATACTATACTAGATTTTTATTCTAACTAACCTACTAAATTCTATACTTTAGCCTATTTCTTACTAGCTTAACTATAATAATCTATTTAATATTATATTTTTATTTATTATTTTCTAGTATTAATAAAAGCAGTTCCGGATTTATTTAATCTAGTAAAGAATTCTAAGAGTTTTTTTTATAGCTTCTCTATATAGAAAACTAGATATATCTTTATAATTTCTAGTAGTTTTAAGAGAAATAAATAGCTATACTATTCTAGAATCTCAAATAGGCCCTTTATTTAGTTCTCTAGCTTCTGGCTCAAATAATTGGATTTCTAGTACTTTATAATAATTTATACTTTATTCCCGACTTTAAAATTAATTAAATAGTAATACTTATTAGTTTATATTATATATTATTTCTATACTTATTCTATATAGCCTTAGGCAAGTTACTATAATTTATATAATTAATTTACTAATACTTTAGCTTTATTTCTATTTAGCTTCTCTTTAAGTAAGTTAGCTTTAATAGAAAAGTTCTAGTCTAGAAAGATATAAGGCTTATAGCTTTTTTTTAGTTATAAATAGGAACTAGCTAATAGTTTTATACTAAATAAAGGCTTATTAATAATTAATTATAGTAATTTATTTATTCTAGTTATTTTAGTAATAGTTAATATACGGGTATAATCTCTAATTAAAGTATTAATTAATAATTTCCGTTTATTTATTTATTTAGGAATAATTAGTTATAGAAAGCTTGAGCTTTATATTAATTCTTATATAAAATTCGCTCTAAAAATCAGATATATATTAGAGTCTCTAATCTAATATAATTATTTCTGAAATATTTATTTAATATATTATATAAAGTAAAAATAGAAATACTAGCTATTTAATTATAATTATATCTCGTACTAGAATTATAATTAGATACTTAGATAAGTAATTCACGAATATAATAACTATATTATAGCCCGATTTGATTTCTAAATAGCTTTTAAAGTCTATAGTAATATATTACTAGAAGTAATTAGGAACTAGAAAGAA